TTAACACTGTCCCCCTTCTATGTTTGTTGTAGAATCCATTTGGAAACACCTACTAAGCTTTTTCTAGGATTGATTTGGACCGATAGAGTTGATTTGATGGGTAGTTTTGATAAGGTTGGGGTCGATTTGACCCGTTTAAAAAGATGTCCTTTTATTTTATAGCTCATGTTTGTCTACTATTTTTCAAAAAATTATTTTCTACAGTAATCAATTTTTACCACACATTCAAATAATAAAATATTCTACACATACACCGATAAAATTTCTTTCAATTTCAACCACACATTTTCCAAAAAAAGTAATTCATTACATCAATTTCTTCTCAATAATAGTTGACAAACAAGGACATAGTAAGGATGTTTAATGCATTTAACATAAAAATAAAAATGAGACATTTTGAACTAAAAAATGAGTAATTATATTCACAATTTCACTCTAATATTTTTATTTATTGTAACATATTTTAATTGCACTTAAGGTCATCAATATCCTTTTTATTGTAGCAGTTATGTTTCCAACATATTTTGTCGCATTTTTATTCTCAGCATTCTATTAATTAGCAAATCTCATATTGGATAACAATTTTCATACAAAAATAAGTCTATTAGAAGGGCGTAAAACGACTTATTTCTCCATCACATTTAAAAAGAATAAATACAAAAAAACTACAAAAATATATTTCGCTCATTTCAAAGTGCATGCAAATAGAATTTTTTTTATAAAAATCATAATCAAAGACCAATTGTGCTAATTAAAGACAATTGAAGACAAAAATGTTAGATATATAACCACCACAATGAGTAAAGTTTGAGAACTTTAATATTAAGGAATTAATCTACTTGTACAATAATGATTAACAAAATTTGTTGACAATGTTAGATGTGGCAAAATTTGGACAATTGATTTAAAAACAGTTTTTGAAATTTTTTGAAATGTGTGAATGTGATGGTGCCAAGTCATGATTGTCAACAAACATTGTCAACTATCATTGTACATATAGCATGATTGAATATTAAGATATGATGCAATAAATAAAACAGTAGTCCTAATATAAGTACCCTAAATTTAGAGAAAAATTATTTCTTTACTACACATTTTTACAAAGGTAATTTTCAAAAATTCTTCCTTGAAATACATCAAAATAATTTATATGAATTATAAAATTACTTTTTTTTATATACGAATAATGCTAAGCCCTTGGTTTGTAAGGACTGAACTAAATTTTAATTTGAGACAGGATTAACAATTTATTTTAATCATATATTTTATTAAACTCATAATTTTTCAAATCACACATTTTATCAATTTTTATAAAATTATACTAAAATTTTGATTTTAATCCCATCGAACAATAACTAAATGAAAAAACCAAACATTATATTACACTCATATTTTTCTTAGTAAGAATTAAGGTACTTTTCTTGAATTGGCATCATCCACATGCCCATTTGCCCTACCATTTAAGAAATTGACAATTCCACACAACATGCAACCAACATAGTGGGCATGTTGAGGATTTTATTTTAATTTTGTAATTATTTTGCTATTTTAATTTTGTAATTATTTTGCACATCTCTCTCTCTCTCTCATAAAATGGACCAAACTCCAAAGACTACACAATTATTTCCTGTCCCAATTTTTTGAAAACACCATAGGCAATTGTTGCGATTTTTTATTACATGTAGGTCGGTCTTTCCCCCTTTCCACTCATTGGCAGTTGTCTCAACCAAATTTGACCCAACCGATTTCAACGACACACACCAAAAAAAAAGTTTAAAATCTTGTTAAGTTCCTATTTGACAATAAATATTTGAAAACTCATTTTCCTATACTAATTTTCAACTAAATATTTCGATAATAAAATATTCTGCATATAAATTCAATTTTTTTTTTACTTTTTAACCGTACATTCTCCTAAAAATCACTGTTTAAAACATTATTTTTCTTAAATAATGACCGTTGAACAGAGACTAATGTCCTGTTTGAGCCAAATTATTGTAAAATGAGAATGAAAAATATAGCTGTTATTGGGACCCACATAAGAGATTGAAAATTTGAATTTAAATATTGATGTGATGGATAACTGTCATATTTTTCATTTTAATGAGATAATAATGTAGATCGAACGAGGGCTAAGATAGATATTAATATTATATCATGATACTGTCGAGTGTTTTATTTTCTTAAAATGCTTGAAATTGTTTTACAACTCCAGGACATTTTTCCACTCATTGGAAGTTGTCTCAACCAAATTTGACCCAACCGATTTCAAAAGGGTTACTATTTAAGAGCCCTTGTTTTAAGAATATGAAAAATATACTCAACAAACCTTGCTTTATTCTCTCAATGATTTTCCATTCCCAATTTTCCCTTTTTGATCAATATTTAAGGGATTCGTGCTTCAGTCCCAGTTTGCCAATTTTTATACATTACGATTTATTCCCAGAGTTAAAAAAAAAAAAAAAAATTTGTTGAGCAACAATTTCAGATTTTTATTATTATTTGTTCTGGAGACATGGACGGGCATCCATTCATGAACATCATAAAGATAAGCAAACGTTGATTTATATAAAACTCTCTCTCTCTCTCTCTCTCTCTCTCTCCTCTCGCTGATTTGTCTGCACTTAAAATCCCAGAAGTTAACTTCTCTCTCTATTTGCACGAATTCCCAGAACACCATGAATGGGATTTCCCAGTCTTCAGAAATCCCTATCTAGTTTAGATTTTCTTCTTCAATTTTAATAACTTCTTGATTCATGTGATCACGTTTCGTTTTAACTTTGCATTTTTCAGTTCAAATTGTTCCAACATTCCAGATCTTGGGTCAATCTTCTTTTCATAAAAAACCAGGAAGCTTCCATCTTTAAACCCACCAAGAAATCCCAAGACTCACTTTTTTCTTTCCTGAGATGGAACACAAATATAAGCTCATATTAATCATAGGACTAACCTCATTGACATTCTTAACTATTCTTTTCCTTATAATATTTTGCTGTAGAAGAAAAAAGGCACAAAATGTTTCAAGAGATATAGAAGCTAGCTTTGAGTGCAAAGAAATTGATGGGGTGGTAAATACAGATGATATATTGATCAAGTTTCAAGATGTTGAAGATCTAACTGTACATGAATTACTGGATGCCCCTGGTGAGGTTATAGGAAAATCTAGCTATGGAACTCTGTACAGGGCTAGTTTGGTCAATTCAAGTTCACTGACATTGTTAAGGTTCTTGAGGCCTACTTGTACATTGAGGATGAAAGAAGTTGTACCAATTATAGAGTTGCTGGGGTCTATTAGGCATCCAAATTTGGTGCCTCTGAGTGCATTTTATGCTGGGCCTCGAGGGGAGAAGCTTCTTGTTCATCCATTTTATGGGCTAGGAAATTTGGCTCAGTTCATCAGAGGTAAGGCTCTTGCAGTTGGATTTTCCTGTTAGAATTTCACTCTTAAATTGAAGATTTTGTTTGGTTAACGTTTCAAGAAAAGGGTTATGGATTTTTGCAATTAGGGCTATGTTTAGATAAGAAACTGTAGAATCAGATAGGCTGTTCTTGAAGCAGAATTAATTGTATGAAATATGTCCAATTCAAGAATGGCAAAAGGTAATGTTTCAAGGATATGGTTATGGATTTTCCAAATTAGGGCTATGTTTAGATACACAATTTTATGATCAGATAAGCTCTGTTTTGAGATATAATTAATTTATCTGGAATATTTTCAATTCAAGAATGGCGAAAAGTAATTTATTTTCTTTTCTTTGACTGCAATTTTTGCAAATGTGCATTAGTATACGAACCTTTTCCAGGTTCTATTCCTTATCAGAAGAGCTGAATTAATTCTTTCTATATGATACACGTTCTTTCAAAACTCATTTTCAACCACACATTTTTCAATAATATAATATTTTCCATTACGACCAAAACTTTTCCTTATTTTTTAACCACATATTTTCCACATCACTGTTTAAAATACGTTCTTCCCTCGATAATATGCATCAAACACAATATGTCAAATGGTTCTTTGTTGGATTCTTATGAAAACTGGATCTCTCTACTTTTGAGTCCACACAAGTATTATTTACTGTCTTATTTGCATGGAAAACTGAATTTGTCCTGTTTTGTTTACATTTTTCCTTCTTAAAGTTGTTCATTTTATAATTTAGTGGGCTGCTGGACAAAGGCTTTAGGAAAAGCTTGGTGAGTAGTTTCTGGCTGGATTTTTCACTGTATTTGTCTCTGTCTGTATCATTCAGATCCCTCCACATGTGTAGATACTGTTTCAGATTTCTTGCTTTCAATAATTCCTATACATACATATATGTTTATGTATCATGCAACATTGCAATATAAACCGAGTCGAACAATAATTTTCTTTGATGCACAGATGGTAATGGCGAGGCTCACAAATGGCCAATCATATGTAGGATCTCCATTGGCATTGCTAGAGGAGTTCATCATCTTCATACGGCATTTGGAAAGCCCGTGGTCCATGGAAATCTCAAGTCGAAGAACATACTATTGGATCGTAATTACCAACCATACGTGTCAGATTTTGGCCTGCATCTTCTTTTGAATCCGACGGCTGGGCAACAAATGCTTGAAGCATCTGCATCTCAGGGATATAAAGCGCCTGAGTTGATTAAAATAAAAGATGCAACTGAAGAAAGTGATATTTATAGCCTTGGGGTAATACTTCTAGAGTTACTTACTGGAAAAGAACCCATCGATGAAAACCCTACTCCCGATCAAGACTTCTATTTGCCTAATACCTTGAGGGCTGCAATTCTTGATGATCGAATTACGGATTTGTATCATCCAGACATCCTTCTCAGTCGAAACAGTGGTCAGAGGGTAGTCACTGAAGATCATATTCTCAGGTTTTTTCAACTTGCAATGGCTTGTTGTTCTCCCTCAACTCCCCTTCGGCCTGATATTAAACAAATTCTTGACAAGCTTGAAGAAATTGCTAAGTGATTGGAGTGATGAAAAGTTGAACATGTTAAGCATGACAATCGATTTGTCAACTTGATCACGATTTGACTTCTATGCTGAAATGACTTTAGCCCAAAAGAATTAACCATTGGAACGCTTGTTGAAGCAAAACCGTAGAGGGATTTTAAGAATATTGATGATGGAATATTCTCGAACAACAAATGCTGTTATTATTGGAGAACAGATTTCGGGTTCTTCCAGTACAAGCCTCTATGTCATTCATAGAATCTTTTGTGTACCGTCGGCCGATGAATCAGAGAAGAATACAAAAATGTCCTAACATGTTCAACAGAGTTATTTTACGTAGTTTGTCTGATGTAGCTGTTAGGATTTAGTTCCTTTAGTTGAGCTAGTAGTTATAGCGGAGTCCAGAGAAAAGATTCTCATAACCTACGCGATGAGAAAAATCTAGACGAAGGTACATTTTTCAGTTGCTCTGGAGATGATTGACAAACTCGTGCCTCGACTGAACAGTTTCTATAGCACATGAACCAGTGAAGCTGGCATTTGCCTTCCTTCCCTGTTCGATTCTTGCACCCATCCTGGTAATCCGCCGAGCAATTTTGTGATCATGAAGGTTTGTTTAAGAATTTGCATTTCCAGTATTCCCATTATTATAGAAATCAAAACTTACAAAATTCTCATTATTATAGAAAATTCCATTTCTTGCCCTGTTGTTGAAAGACAAATGGATGGAATCCGTTTATTTGACCGTTAATGAACCTAAAAAATGAATTTTATCACATTTTGATTAATTTTAGAAAAGCAAAATTGTAATTTTATATTTTCTCAATAAAATAATTAAAATACATATATATTGAGAACTGTTCATATATATTATTTGTTCTTTTTTTTTTTAAAAAAAAAAGCATGTGGATATTGTGTTGTTCAATCTTATCACATTCATATCCAATATTAGGTTGAGAACTTGAGAATAGCACAATTCGTTCTTTCTTTGAGTGAAAGGTGAAGTGCTTCATCCGGGTTTGTCTCAAATCTGGATTAGGGGTGACTCTGAGTGAAGTTTATTTGTATTTATCCAACTATCCAATCCTTCGGACAGTGTGGGCAACTGAATTCCTAACATACATAAAGGGAATTTTTCATTTTTTTTAGATCAAACCAAACAAGGACTATCGCTATCGATATCATTAAGCAGTGTCTCATTTGACGCAAAAGAAAAATCAGAAACTAAACTCTACACGATACGGAGTGAATCATATTTAGCCTCCGTTTGTTTCTCATTTTTCATCCATAAAAATGAAAAATATGACCATTATTCATCACATCAAGTTATCAATTTTGAATTTCTATCTCTTGTGTAGAGTCCAATAACGACTATATTTTTCATTCTTATTCTACAATAATGAGAATAAAACAGGCCCTTAGTCACCTGAGGTAAGAAACCGGTGGAATAAGCGAAAGTCACCCCTTGCCATTGTGTCCGCATCATCCACTAAAAAAAGACTTCATCGCCCTCACCACCACTCTGTTGCGATCATTGAACCAAAACTTGTTCCACCCCTAGTTGACTCTCAACCCCAACTCCCCTATTCCTGCTATCAGGACCAAGCACGGAAGGCAACCGCTCGCACTGAAATTTTGAGTTGGGGAGCATAACCAAATAAAAAGTTGTGAAAAATATGACATTTAGTGACAAAGGTTTTATCCATGCCATCTCCAACAAACATCACATTCTTTTAAGTCCCTTCCTATCTCGACTTTCTCACGGTACACCCCAGATTTCACATATACAACAGTTCTTTCGGGCTAGTTGGTGTGCGTCCTAGCAAGTGCAGCCACGACTTCATTAATTGCCTTGTAATTCCCTGAGTCATAATTATACAAGATCAACCTTTGAGGTTGCTGTATTCTATGATGTTAAAGTCCCCCCCAACTTGGTCAGTTTTAGGCCTCTTCTGAAACTCTGAATTATATAGAAAAAGACTAATTATGAAGTGCCAAACAGTCTTTGATTTATTAATTGTATTGCAATTCACAATTACATCTCATGCTAATTTCATGGGTTAATTTACGTAGAATGAATTAGTTTGTATTCAAATAAATAAGGTTTACAATAAGTTCTATTGATTTTGTGCTTAAAATCAGATAATACAACTAAATATACTATAAGGGTCCGTTTGATTTCAAATGCGAAATTTGGGTAGAAAGAAAATGAATTATAGGGAATTGAATTGCCTAAAATTTGTTTTACTGAAAATTGTAATTAATTGTGTTTGATTGATATAATTTTCTATCTAGAAAATGTTGAAAGTTTGGTGTCCGTTTGACTTCATTTTTCATGGAAATTGTTCATTAAAGTGACAATTTTTTTACCATTTGATCCCATTGCACAAAAAAAAAAAAAAAAAAAGGCTAAATTGGAAAACCAATTCCCACAAAAATGGTAGGAATTGGTTTTCCCTTGAATCATTGAAAATGGCACGTGACAGACAAAATCAAGAAAATCATTTGTCCGGAAAAAAAAGTGTATCAAACATGCAAAAAATGGAAGATGGAATTCCTTTTCCATTTTCAATGGAAAACTTGGGTCAATCAAGCAGGGCCTAAGTTATTTATCAGACTTTTTATTAAATAGCAAAGTAATTTATATTACATCTTCGAAAAAAGATTTTTACTTAAGTGAAAACAACTAAATATACTAAAGTTACTTGACACTCAAAAGAGTAAATTTCAAAATTGACAAGTTTTTTAGCAAACAGTAATTTTATCAAACAAGTCCTTATTTGTATGAAAATAAAAAGAAATACAAGCTTGGGGAACATCAGACCTAACCTCCAAACAATGTAGATACAATTCAATCTAGAGGACTTGAAGCTAAAAAAAAATTAATTATGTAGTCATACTCCTTGTCGTAATATGATATGCATAATATTTTGTTGGCCTATAAGCTCATTCTCACTCATAATTACTTCCATCGTCAAAGTTATCAATGCCTATCCATAACCCATTTCTTGTTAGTCCAACCCATCATCGAAATTGTATGTATCCAAAAGTATCACTCGCAAGCAAAATATAAACATGTAAATTTACAGAGGTTCACCCTTTTGTTTTCCCCTTGCGTGGTTTCTGTGCTGGTGAACTGCCAAAGCTCCTGAAGCTACCGTCAAGTTTTCTGCCACTCCACTGTCAAACAGCCATTAAAAAAGAAAAAAAAATCCAATTTTTTAAAGTTGGGGGGTCATGTGACCCCCATGCCCCCCTCCCCGTCC